ATTAAAGAGGAAACTGGTTGGAGCCAGAGTTTGTGCTGACTTTTCACCTACACTGTTTGTTGACCCCCAGACTCCTCTCTGTCTCTCTCCCTCTCTCTCTCTCTCTCTCTATGATCAACTTGTCATGTGACTTCCATGCTCAGCGCTCCTTCCATCCCTGTGATGTGGTGGAACTCACCCTCAGGATTATCTCCCTTTGTTCAATTTCCTGTCAGGAGAACCAGTTACATCTGACTTCCCCTAGAATTGTGACATTTCCTGTCCAAGTGGGGGGTGAAGGGGAATGGGGGGGGTGGCCTGTCATCTCGTGCAGGCTGTTCAGCTGTGGGGAGAAACAGGATGCAGCAGTGTGGATGGGTCACAGTAGAAAACTGTGTTTTCACTTGACAATAATCAACCACTGACTTGATTGACAAATGATTGATCCTGACAAAGAACTAATTCATGTTTTTCAGTGTAAAGCAATCGTAAACGTGAGGTCTGCCCCCTTGTGGAGCAGTTTTATATGGCTTATTTATTGCATGAAAAACAATTGTGATGTTGGTTTTCAGTTAGGAGTTCATGAATCAGGTGTGTTCTGTCTTCAGGGAGTCCGTCCAGAACTCTGTCCACCATGTCTCTGTCTGCTCGTCCAGTCAGACGCCTCACCTCCAGGTCCATCACTAGGAGCCAGAGTTTCACTGGAGTCAACAGCTACGACCGGCCCTACAGGTACACCCATGGTCACCCATGGTCACCCATGGTCACCCATGGGTGACCATGGTCACCCATGGTCACCCATGGTCACGTGTTTGTAGTGTGACCATGTTGACCGTAGTTGAACTACAGCAGGACATTATTAAAGTTCACCTGTTTCAACACAACACTGACTGTTACAGGAACCTGTCGGTGCAGCACACCAGGTGTCGCGCCAGGTGCCAGCAGGAAGACCAGCAGAGCTAGCAGGATGTTCACCATGTCCATCAAGTCCAACCCACCACCGAAAGTTCCACAACCAGAGAGAGTGGATCAGGTCTACGAGGCCCTGCAGAAAGGCCTTCAGTCAGTATACCTGTGTACTCTGTGTACTCTGTGTACTCTGTGTACTCCAAAACTATTGCTCTGTGTTGTTTTAACGGCACGGTCGGCTTTTTGAGGAAAGAAAAGTGACGAAGGGACTGTGAATCATTTCACTGGTCTGTGGAACTGTTGATGGAACCGAAAGTTCTAGTTTATGATTGAGAGATCGAGAGAAGACAAGATATTTGTGACAGTGTTTACAGTAGTAATTACTTCATACTTTAGTCCTCGGTTTTACCAGACTGTATGTATATATGTACGTCTACACAGTACCTGTCTGTGTGTATAGTGTGTATAGTGTGTACACCATTGATGTGTGTGTGTGTGTGTTCTCAGGTCATACCTACAGATTCATCAGACTGACCTGGACAGCCTCAGTCGACAGATGAAAGAGTCTAAACGGAACTCCAGACTGGTGGGTTTCTTATTTATTATTGTTTATTGTTATAATTATTATTAAAGGAAGTTGAATTAGCTGGAAGAACAGACAACACTGACGGTGCATTTCAACTTTCTTCCACAGGGTTTCCTGTACGAGCTGGACAAGG